TCATTGGACTTGCAGGGGATGGTAATAAATGAAGTCAAGCAAGGTCGTGCGGAGGTTCCAATGAAGTCAACACGTCGATCCGATTTTGGCGCGAGAAAAACCGAGGAAAACAAACATCCACCCTAAGGATCCACACCCTCAAAAACGAGGGTTTGGAGGGTACAAACCCTTGTTATAGAGGGTTCAACCCCTTCTAAAGAGGGTCCAAGGATCCTTAGGGCAGAACACAACATGTCATGTGTTTCAGTACTACGAAGTGACCCAACCTCCCAACACACAAGTGTTCAAAGTTCCGCTCCAAACTACCCTCCTGCGCTGTTGAAGCGGGGATCTTCTGCAAGTCCTCCACCAGCTGTGCCACGAAGCTTTTACCGCCCGGACGTTGAACCACCTCCTCTTCCTCCTCGTCGGAGTCGTCGTCCTCTTCCTCGTCGCTCTCCTCAGATGCCCAGAAGGGAGACCGTGCAGCATGTCACGAAAGAAAAACGAAAGACCCTTACGCGAGGCACAAAGCCACTTACAAGTCTTGAATCGCCTTAATTATATGCAAAAATAGACCCGGTCGGGGGTGTTTCACCAATCCCGATCGCTTTGGTTCGGGACCGGGAAAGGGCTGTTTTCACGGAGCGTCTGGGCATGTTGTTTCCCCTACACCTCCAAGTCTATACCTCCTCAGGTTCGGTATGACTGGACCCTCCTGGCACCCAGCCCAAAACCCCGAACCTCAGGTTCGGTACGACTGGAGGCCCTATACCAAGGCCCCTATACCAGGGGTGGTTAAGGGACATCCCTTAACCTCGCCATAATTGGACACCCCTCCGGTGACTTCACTCCCACACGGCCCGACGTCCCGTTCCGACGGCACTCTCGTGCCGTCGGGGTGAAGCCGATCGGAGCGGCCCGGCGACCGGTCACGCGGCGACCGTCGCGGAGAAGAAGGTATTGGCCCCCAAGGCGCCACCCGTGGCCCCAAGGCGAAACAAGCCCGGCTTCATCACTGATATGCCCGAATTCGCCTTCAAAGATACAAAGAACGGTTGAGCTGGTGGTGTAGTGTAAAAATCCTTAGTAAAACAAGGGTTCTTTGGTAAAGAACATAAAAATTGTTGTTTGAAACCTAGCGTATGCTAACTGGCCTAACTACGACCACAAGTTGGCGTTGAACTACTTATAACGTGTTCAAAAAACATATTGAGTTTATCTGCTGTTGTAACTACCCCAACTACGACGTCAACTTTAGCAGCTTATGCACCTGATAACATGCGAAGTCGCGTGCTGGATGGTGCTGGCCTGGAGAAGACACTTCTTCCCCAACCTGCTGGGGAGAATACTTCAAGAACCCTAAAGTTTACGCTTCTTACTCTGTTCCAACATGACACTTGCGGTCTACAGCGGATCGGATTAACATGTCCATTTTGCGTGGCAGGTACAGCACGGTCAGATTTCCACACCCGTTTAAATTTATAATATCTATAAGGCTTTCAGGTGTGGAAATCTGACCGCAACTGAGGTGTCGACATGTTGCACGTAGGATTCTAAGGGGAAAGGGTTTGTGATGTTTTAGAAGTCAAGAAGCGCAACTTTTGGCACCCCAGTGCGTTATTACTAGGTATTAGCCTTGTGTTTACAACTAATCTTGAGAAATGTTGTGAGGTTCGACATTAACGTTGTCCTGTTATAAAGT